ATTTCCTTATGAGTAATAAGGATATTCATTCAGGTGATAAAAGCTGTACTGATATTGAAGCAGATGAACGTTGGGAACGACAAATTGCTATATATGAACATTCATATGAAGAATGAAGTTCTGCTATTGAAGAAAGACATCATTATGAGAATGAAGGGTTTGAATTCACAGAAGATGGGAAGTGCTTGACAGTTATGGTAATATACAAATTGATGAATTGGATAATACAGTAGTGTGTCCAGATCCAGGTGAGGCACCAATTTCTCCAGAAGAAAAACCTAACATCGGCACTGTTTTATTACGTGCTTTGCCATGATATCGAAGCTCTAAAGTAAATTCATATATTTTAACAATTTTTATTTTAACTGCTATACATGCATATTAAACAATTACCAGATGTATAAATTATAGTTTATGCATGTAACAGTTGAATGCATTAATTATTATTTTTAGATCACATTGTTTCACTTCGCTCTTGTAATTGTTTAAACAGAAGCTATATTAATTAATTTATGAACTATTAATTATTTTATACCTAGGTAACTTATCTATTCCGGAGCATACTTGATTCAACTCTTGGCTGTCTTGCAACATCAAAGCTACAAGGTCGAAAGAGATATGAGAAAATTGGTAAAGGTTATTTTGCTGTTCATTTTGACTGTAAACCACCACCAAGAGCCAAAAAATGGATGATTAGTAAACTAGTGCAAGAAATTTTTAAAAAAGAATTTCTTGAAAAAAGTAAGGTCTTTCAACTTGGAACCCTTGTTATTCAAGAATGATCATCCAATGTCTATAAAGTTATCAAGCCAATACGTGCACCTTTACAGTCAGTAGTGCTTCCAGAAGGTATAGAAGATAAGAACTACAAAAAACATCAACAGCAGTAGGAGGCTCAAAATTGGTCAGAAATAGAAATTCCACAATTAGACAGTGATACTAGCGATAAATCTGATTCTAATGGAGATGATATCAGAGGCACGATATATCACACAAATCATGTGAACAAAAATTTTCTATTATTGTCAAATAATCGACGCATCTAAATTTTATATGTAAAATTTAGGAAAATTTTGCTTTCCAGGCTTATTTAACAAAAAGGAGCTGTCAGTTTAATTT